CTCAGCTTGTGCCGCGGGCCGCAAGGAGTGCCTTGTCGCGCCTGTGTCCGCGCCCTCCTGCTCGCGGCCGGTCCCCGCGGAGGCAGAGGTGCGTGGGTGACTCACTCCCAGAACCTCACACGGCCATAGTGACAAGGAGAGCTGTTTCGAAATGGAGAGGAACTCGGGGGACCCTCGGGTCCCGCGCGCACTTCCGCGCTGTGACAGAAGGTGGATCCCGGCATAGACACTGCTGTGTGTGTGTGTGTGTGTGTGTGTGTGTGTGTGTTGCACTGAGCTACGTCCCCAGCCCTTTTTACTTAATGGGTCTCCCAAAGCTTGAATTTGCGCTCCCTGTCTCAGCCTCCCACAGTGCTGGGATTACAGGCATACACCGCCGCACTCGATTAGACCTTTGCTTTGTTTTATTTTTTACTCAGCACTGAATCAGAGGATTTCGTATAATTCTAGTGCATGATTTGTAATAGCTGTGTCGTGTGCTAAATGTCCCTGTGTCTGAAAAAGTCGCTCATTAGCCTAGTGGTGGAAGGCTACACCACTTCTGGTTCGTTCTTAGTGCAGACAGTACAGGTGGAGAGGTGAGCATGTGCACATAGCTGCTTTTAATTCTCTAGGAAGGAGTTCTTGAGGTGAGCTTAATGTATATACAGTATGTTTTTGTAAACAAGGAGAATTAGGTTAAAAGTTGTTCTTTAACAATGTTTTATTTTCTTCTAAGGAATGTAATAAAAAGACAAAAACCGATGATGGAGAGAACGTGTCACCTGATGTGCCCAGTCTGGCCCAGGAGAATGGTGAGGCAAGTAGATTGTTCAGTTTTATGTCAAGCCAGAGAGGCTGCTGCTGTTTTTCTCCTGTTTGGAAGCCCATGTCACCATACACAGCTTTGCTGGGAGAAAAACTGAGGTAAAGCCAGGTGTGGTGGTGCACACCTGTAATTCCACCTCTCAGGGAGGCTGAGGCAGGAGAATCACTGTGAATTCGAGGCCACCCTAAACTACACAGTGAGATCCTGTCTCAACAAAAAGAAAAACTAAAGTAAAATTGAAGGTACTAAAAGCCACATGCAGGGCTATCCACCCAAACCCCACAGCCTATCTTTTCAACCACACTAAGCCAAAATACTACATAAGCAACAAAAAAGGCAGTGTAATATTTAAACCTCAAATCTGTTGTGTGTAGAGTGTTGTGTATGAGGAGATTTTTTTTCTTGTCTTTTTTAAGCATTTGTTGTTTGGTGGTTATTGTTTTTGGTATCTGGGATCTAACTTGGGACTTTGTGCTTTCTAGGCAAGTGATGGAACTACTGAGTTAAATCCCCAACCCTCCTTTTTTGTTTTGTTTTTTGTTTATTTGAGACAGGGACTTCCTCTGTAATTTAGGTTGGTCTTGAACTCACTGTGTAACCCAGTCTAGCCTTGAGATATTTCCTGCTTGCCTTGGCCTCTCCATTGCTAGGATTATAGGCCTGTGCCACCACGCCTAGCTGTATACGAGGAATTGAACCCAGAGGTGCTATACAGTTACGCTACATCCTGCTGGAGACCCCTGCAGTCAGGTTCCAGTCTCCACCTGCCCAATGTTCAGACATAGGCTTAAGAAAAAAAATACACTAAGAGACAGAACGAAGAGAGTGAAAACAAGGTGCCAGGACGGCCAATGCTGGTGCAACTGACAAAGGTGCTGGACAGTTCCAGGCACTGACTTTTATTGGCAAGAAATTGGGGTAAAGGCAACATGGTGGTTTCTATGGAAATTGATGTAAACAAGGCTCATAAAGGACAAGACAAAGCATTCTCAAATTAGGAACAGAACAGACAAAATATATGATTGTAATTAGAATATTGTCCTTCTAGCTGGAATATTTTAGGTGTGGGAATGGAATTTGGGTGTGTTAAGTCTGATCTGGGCATGTAGGATTTAGCCAGACTCATTTCTATAAATAAGCCAACTGTAGGGTTAACTCTTCACAGCCTGCCTTGGACAGAGTCCTCTGCGGCGTCCCAGGCCTTCTTTATTTAAATAAAAAATTTTTTGAGATAGATACTCACTATATAGCTCAAGCTGGCCACAAACTTGCAGTGATTCTCCTGCTTCGGCCTCCCAAGTGTTGGTTCCCTTTTTTTTGGCGAGACAAGGTCTTGCTGTGCAGTTTAGGCTGGCCTTGAACTCACTGTGGAGCTCAGGCCAGCCTCAGTCTGTCGACAGTGCTCCTGCCTTGGCCTCCCATGTGCTAGGATCACAGACGGGCACCATCACACCCAGTTCAGTTTAGTAGTTCTAAGGTACTGTTTAATCTGATAGGCATCAGGCATATTTCTGGTTACCCTGTGTGCCAGTGCTGTGGGGACTGAGGTTGAGGGCCAGCAAGGCATGAGACAAGTGCCCAGAGCTGCCCACCAGACAGCAGGGGGGATTTGGGGCCACGAGACAGTCAGAGTAAGGGCTCTGCAGTAGCAAATCCTAGAGGCTCTTCCGTGCCTGCCCCGGTGCCATCGCCTTAACAGAGATGCAGCTCCGTTCCTTATCACTGACAAGGGGAGTTGGGTGGCCGCCCTCCCAGGGCACTGGCAAGGCTGATAAGGCCTGTGCACAGCCTGAGCAGGTTCCTTCAGCTCAGCAGTGGAGTCAGCTAGAAGAGGGGTTGGGAAGGGTTGGTGCAGGTACCCTGAATGGAGGGTCAAAGTCAAGATGGCCTTGAGATGGAGCTGCACCCCCCTGGGGCTTGGTCAGCGTGGTCAGAGCAGAGGTAGTGGTTTCCCTTGCCTGGGATAATGGCAGGGGGACACACGGCAAGGGAAAGCCTCGGGTGTGCGTCTGGTTATTTGGGGCTGGTGATGTGAGCTGCTGGGCACATCCACTTAGGAGCCTGGAGAGCCATCCCGAGGCCTGGAGCAAGAGTGCACTGGAAGGGCAGACAGACTGCTGGGGGCTAAGGAGATAAGAAGGCGGTGCAGAGCCCGAGGAGGAGGAGGAAGGGTAGGAAGGAAGTAGAGGTGGGGAAGGAATAGCCCAGGATCCTGAAGAGAGCTCTCAGGAGCTCTTCCTGCAGAGGAACGCGGGGACACAGGACCAGCGTGGCCGTACCTGAGCGTGAAGTGATGTGCGGGGGTGTTGGGAGTGGTTTGTGTTCTTGCAAATCTCTGGGGCCTGCAGAGCCCAGAAGTGAGTACAAGGGCCAGTCTGGAAGGGAAGGACAGAGGGGTCAGGACAGCCCAGGTTTTGTGGTGTCAGCATCCAGGTGAGAAGCTGCGCCACCTCAGTGAGGCGGGCCGGCATAGGTGCCTGCAGTTCAGTCCTGGATGGCTTGAGGACCTGTTCACATGCAGCTGGAGGCCCTGAACCAGGGGCGCTGTGCACCATGTCCTGGTCCTGGAAGGAGAGCGCTTGGCAAGCTCTGCGGACTAGGTGAACCCAGGCCATGCCGAGACTGAGGAACCCGGCAGGAAAGCCAGAGGCCCCAGGAATGGGGAAACGGTGTCCCAGAGCGGGTGGCTGGCCGCACACAGGAGTATCATCTTTCTGCACACAGCAGTGCTGGCACCGGTGCTCCCCTTGTGCTCTGGGCAAGGTGCCGCCCACCACCCCGCAATGAGCTATTCAGACCAGACCGTTCCTTGAGTACTAGGCCTGCCCTTGTACTGTCTCTGTTTTCCGAGAAGCATTTTCCTGATGTCCTCTCTAAAGAGCACACTTTTGTTTGTTTTGGTACTGGGGATCGAACTTGGGACCTTGCATTTTCGAGGCAGGCGGCGGCACCACTGTGCTAAATCCCCAGCCCTTAAAGAGCACATATTAACATCAGGTCAGTTTCTTCCACAGAAAGGAGAATTCCATAAATTAGCTGATGCCAAGATATTTCTGAGTGACTGCCTAGCATGTGACAGCTGTGTGACTGCAGAGGAAGGAGCCCAGCTTTCTCAGCAGAATGCCAAGGACTTCTTCCGAGTCCTGAACCTTAGTAAGGTATGGTGCTGGACTCTCGCTGATGCTGCGCTTGGGAAGCGGCCGGAGGTGGGGTGGGTGTCAGGGTGAGAGGTGTCTTCTCGTCCACAGAAGCCTCTGCTGCACCATCACTGAAGTCCCCTGCTATGGCACACCTCCTTCTCCCTGCAGATCCACTCCTTCGCAGGCTTTCGGGCCGTGGTGACCACTGGTCCACCCAGAGGTCTCCTTGGCTTGCAGGACGGCCTTAGCCTGAGACAGTCAGGTCACAGACCCAGAGCATGTGAGCAGTGTGATTTCAGAGATGAGCCGGGGCCCATGAGAGGATAGGGCCAGGCGAGGCTCCTCAGGCAGCGCCATCCTCAGGCTCCCTCCTCCTGCGTCCCTGCTGCCTTCCCCAAGGAACTCCCTCCCAGTTGTCACTGGCTTTCAGGAAGCAGAAGGGAAGGAGAAGACAGGCATGACCCTGCGGGCCTCAGTTTAGGGCCCCCTCCTGAGGGTGGACCTGCTGTCTTGGGGCCGCCACCCGATGAGCGCCACGCAGCCAACTCGGTGTTTGTCACTCACCCTCTGGCTCCTTAGATGATCTGTTCAGCCTTTGTGATGGTTCCTGTGGGAACGTTGTTTCTGTCCTAAGCATTAGTGATGGTTCCGGCCCGGGGCTCCCACCCCAGCTACGCACCTGCTCCCGCAGAGGCGGAATGGCAATTGCCGCGTTGCGTCCTGCAGCTTCTCTGGTGCACTCCACGGGGCTTGGTCTGCAGCATCAGCCTTCTCTTGAACAGCCTTAGAAGTGTGCAGCGGCTGATGGCAACATCCAGCTACCTGCCCACACTTGATATCAGATTCACAGTGTGAGCCAGTGTAGTGGTGCACACTTGTAACCCTAGCACCCTGGGAGCCTGAGGCAAGAGAATTACAAGTTGAACTCACTTGGGCAACTTACCAAGTTAGTGAGACCTAGTCTCACAATAAAAAATTTAAGGATAAAATATCCATTGGTGTGGTGGTGCAGGCTAGAATTCTAGCACTCAGGAGCCAGAGGCAGGAGGATCCAAAACAAGGTCAAGACCTGCCTGGACTGCACAGTGACATCCTGCCTTTAAAAAAAAAAGTTTAAAGAGGATAAAATAAGCTTGGTGTGGTGACACCCGCCTGCGATCCCACTCGGGAGGCTGAGGCAGGAGGATCAAGACCAGCCTGGACTACATAGTGAGTTCCAGGGCAGTCTGAACTACATAGTAAGACTTTGTCTCAAAGGGTGGGGGGCAGGGGATTTAGCTCAATGGTTCTGCCACTTTCCTGGAAAGAACAAGGACCCGAGTTCGATCCCTGTACCAAAAAAAAAAAAAGAAAAGGATAGGGAGGGAGCTTGGTGGGGGAAGAGATAAGGTAAAATAAAATTTATTTTAAAAATAAATAAGGATAAAATATAGCTCAGCACAAAGGTCCTGGGGTCAATGCCAGTAGCCAAAAAAAACTAAGGATACTCTATGACTGTATGGCTATATCCTTAGCCCAATTTATTATTCATTTCCAGTACTAGGGATTGAACCCAGCGCCTTCACATTGAGGTACATCCCCATCCCCTTTTTATTTTAAGACGGTCACACAAAGTCACCTAGGCTGAACTTATTTTTATTTATTTGTTTGTTTGTTATTTTGAGAGAGTTTTGTTTTGTTTTGTTTGTTACCTGGGATCGAACTTGGGAGTAGGCAGTGGTACCAGTGATCTAAATCCCTAACCCCTGAGACAGCTTTGCTATGCAGTTGCCTGGCCTTAAACTATGTAGCCCAGGCTGGCCTTAAATTTGTAATGATTCTCCTGCCTCAGCCTCCCAGAGTGTGAGGATTACAGGTGTGTACTACTATGCCCAGCCTAACTTTTTAATCATGTTTTTTTCTTCTTTTTTCTTGCATCTGCTAGTATTCATCTATTAGTCTTCTCATCGAACATCTGTTGGGTTCTGTTCTGAATCATTCATCAAAGTCTTTTTCCTCATGTAATCAGCATATACGTATGACATTCCTTGTTTCTTCTTTCTTCAGAAATGTGATACCTCAGAGCACAAAGTGCTGGTCGTGTCTGTGTGTCCTCAGTCTTTGCCTTATTTCGCTGCTAAATTGAACCTCAGCGTCACTGACGCATCCAGACGACTCTGTGGCTTCCTGAAGAGCCTGGGTGAGCCACCTTGCTGTGCTACTGTGGGTGGATGCTGAGAGGATGTGGGGCACACTCTATACCTAAAGGACGCAGTCTTCATGATAGAAGGGAGGGTGCCTGTGGGAGAGTCTTGCGGACCACAAGAGGGTCCTGTCCTGAGTGCCCTGCACCCAGCCTCAGGGGCTGACTCTTCCCTAGTGGAGACAGACTGCTTGCCAGTGGGCACTAAGGGACAGGTTCAGGTGTGTGGGTAGATCCCACAGGTGCCCAACAGCCTCCACATGCAAAACATACACTGAACGTGTTTATGTGCCAGTCACATCTGAAGTGTTAGTGCCTAGCTTCCTCACGCTCTCCTGATGGACATGGCGGCGCACACCTATAATCCCAGCACTTGGGAGGCTGAGGCAGGGGAACCACAAGACTCAAGGCCAGCCTGAACTACACAGCAAGACCCTGTCTTAAAACAAAAGCAAAACAAAACAAAAAACAACCCAAGCCAGGCGTGGTGGTGCATGCCTGTAATCCCAGAACTTGGGAGGCTGAGGCAGGACGATAGCTGTGAGTTCGAGACCAGCGTGGGCTACACAGTGAGTTCCAGGTCAGTCTCAATTACATAGTGAGACCCTGTCTCAAAAAAAACAAAACAAAAAACAAAAAAAAATCCTAGAAGCTCTTCTGAGAGCTCTGTAGGGTGGGAATGGGTGTGTGCACTTTCCGTGAAAGGCAGTCAGTTAAAAAATTCAGTCAGCTGGCAGCACCCTAGGAGACGGAAGCAGGAGGAACAGAAGTTCTTTCCTGGAAAACTTGGAGATGTTAGCAAGACATGTTTTTTGTCTCAAAATTTAAAAAAAGAAAAAGAAAAAGTATGTGGGAGATGGGGATATAGCTCTGTGCAGAGGACCTGGGCTCCATCTCCAGTACCACCAGGAAAAACACAAAGCAAGCTAAGTGTGATGGCACATACCTGGGGACGGAGAGGAATGTCACGAGTTCAAGGCCAGCCAGAGCTACATAGAAAGACAAGACAGACGTGGCTAATGTAAGCTGTCCACACTGGAATGCACGACCTAGAAGTTGGAGCGCTTCTGCCCTGCTGCTCCTGTCCTGTCGGTGGTTTGCAGGGTGCGGCTTGGCCAGCAGACAGTTCGGTGAAGGACAACACAGGTGGTCCGCTAGCAAGGCTCTGTGTACTCTAATGGCCTTCTCTTCTGCTGGTCCTGACTGGGACTTCAACGTGGGGCCTTTGTACTGAGTACATCCCCAGCCTTTTGTATTTTACTTTTAAATTTTGAGACAGAGACTCACTGAGGCACTAAGCTGCCCAAGCTGGGCTGGAACCTTGTGATCCTTCCACCTCAGTGTCCCAGAGTGGAAGCCCCACCACACCTGGCTCTGTGGTGGCTTTTTAGAGGCGTACAAGTGTAGGAGATTAATGCTGCAATGACACTCAGAAGAGGCGAGTATGAGGAACAGCCTGCAGTGCTCTGGTGACAGCCTGTTGGGCTGCAGATGTCAGTCCTGGCTGCATGCTTCAGAGAGTCCAGGCTGGCCTAGCTCATTAGCTAGGCCATACTGACCAGCATCACCAGAGACCATATTGTCCATGGTGAAAGATGCTGTTTGGGGAAAATTTTTAACTATGTGATTGAGCCAGGATGGTGGTGCACCCTTCTAATCCCAACACTCCAGAAGGATGAGGCAGGAGGATCACAATTTTGAGCCCAGCTGGGCAACTTTGTGACTTAGTGAGACCCTGCCTCAAAGTAAAAGGGGGCTAAGGATCTACTTCAGTGTGAAAGCCCTGGGTTAAATCCCCTGGATGAACAACAACAAATAAATAATTGATGCTGGGCATGGTGATGCACACTGTGATTCCAGCTCTTGGGAGGCTGAGGCAGGAGGAAATGATCTTGCTGTATATCTCAGACTGGCCTTGAACTCACTGTGGACCCCAAGCTGGCCTCCCACTCACAGTGTCCTGCCTCAGCCTCCTTAGTGCTGGGAAACAACAAAAATAAGCCAGGTACGGTGGTGTATGTCTAAAGTCACAGCTACTCAGGAGGCTGAGGCAGGAGGATTGCAAGTTGGAGGCCAGCCTGGGTAACGTAGCAAGACCCTGTGTCCGAATACATTAAAAGGTCTAGGGAAGTAGCTCAGTGTTAGAGTACACCTATGTTCAATCCCCTGTATCACAAAAAGAAAGAAATGGAGCCAGACACAGTGACACACGCCTGTGATCCCACCTTGAAAAAGCTGAAGCAGGATCGTAACAAACCGGTTTGAGTCCAGCCTGTGCAACTTAGCAAGACCCTATCTCACATAAGATAGCTCCATGGGGAGGCTTGAAGTGCAGCATCCTGAGGTGGGGCCATCAGGAACAGGAGGGCTGGCTCAGGAGGTGGACGCTGTGGAGCCTGTTTCCTGGGTTTGTGTGCATGAGGCCATAACAATGAGTCTGCTGAGCCAGGCATGGTGGCACATGCCTGAAGTCCCAAGCCTCAGAAGGCTGAGGCAGGAGGATCGCCTCTAGTTCAAGGCCAGATTTGGCTACACAGTGAGACCCTGTCTCAAAAAAAAGAAAAAGAAAAAGAAATGAGTCTGGCTGGGTTTGCTCTCATGCTGTGCTGAAAAACTCTCCTTTCCTCCTTCCCGCAGGGGTGCACTATGTGTTTGACATGGCGATAGCTGCAGATTTCAGCATCCTGGAGAGCCAGAAAGAGTTTGTGCGTCGGTACCATCAGCACAGTGACGAGCAGCGGGCACTGCCCATGCTGACCTCCGCCTGCCCTGGTGAGGCCCATTTCCAGCTTAGTGACTGGGTGATTCAGGGACGGCCTGAGTTAAGGTTTTTGGTGTTTGGTTTTTGTAGCGCTGGGTGTAAAAATGAATACAGCACTGTGCCTGCCAGTTCCGCCGGTGGTTGAAACTGCCCACGGACAGCCGTGCACAGACCACCAGGGCTTCAAGCCAGCAGGAGCAACTGAGTTCCAACCAGAGCTGCCTGGCACCGGACACACGGAAATGGCTGTTGGGAATGTGCTGAACCCAGAGCTGGCGTGCTCGGCGGGCGCTGTACTTCTAGGCCACCCCATGGGTCCTGATTGAGGCCTCATATTCATTTATACAGACTTCTGAAATTTCTGCAGCAAACATTGTGGTATTTTTTGTGTTTGTTTTCTGTGGCATATGGGATTGAATCCAGGGCCTTTGCACTGAGCTACATTCCCAGTTCTTTTTTAAATTTTTTATTTTGAGACAAGATCTTACTTTGTCACCCAGGCTGAGTTCAAACTTAAGATCCTCTTGCCTCAGCCTCTCAGCAGGCTGATACTACAGGCATGCACCACCTGCCCAGCTTAGGGCCTGTTTTTTTATTTTGTTTTGTTTTACAAATGTTTTAATTACACATCGTGTTTTTTTCTTTTTACGGGGGATTGAACTTGGGGGATTGAACTCGGGTCCTTGCGCTTGCAAGGCAGGCCGCCGAACCGCTGAGCTAAATCCCCGGCCCTACACATCCTGTTTTTAAACTTGGCTAGATCACTTTTAAATTTTAGTTCCTGAGATTTTATTTTGAAATACCTGAATAATACACTGAATAACTTACAAAAATTTTTGGGTTTTTTGTTTTGTTTCGGTTTGTTGTTGTTGTTGTTTTGAGACAGAGTCTCACTGTGTAGTTGAGACTGACCTGGAACTCACTATGTAGTCCCAGCTGGTCTCGAACTCACAGCAATCCTCCTGCCTCAGCCTCCTGGCTGGGATTATAGGCTTATAGGCATGCGCCACACCCAGCTTGTTTCTTTTTTTTTTTCTTTTTTTTTGAGGCAGGGTCTCCTTATGTAATTCAGGCTGGCCTTGAGTTTACTGTGTAGTCCAGGCTGCTCTTTAACTCATGGTGATCCTCCCGCCTCAGCCTCCTGAGAGCTGAGATGAGAAGAGAATGCCACATGCCAGGTGTTTTTTTGTTTGTTTGCTTGTTTCTGGTACTGGGGATCAAACTCGGGTCCTTGCACTTGCAAAGCAGGCATCAGAACCACTGAGCTAAATCCCCATCCCCTGGTGTTTTTTTTTAGGCAGGGTTTTGCTATGAAGTTCAGGCTGGTTTTCAACTCATGTGCCTCAGACTAGTCTTTGCTGCATGAGCCTCCTGAGTGCTGGGTTACACACAGGTACCGCCACATCCAGCTGAGAGTAAAGGTTCACATTGAGAAAGTTGTGAAGAGAGAGGTCCTGCAGCCACATCTGGGAGGTCCTTCTTGCTGGTGGGAACTCTGCAGTCACATGGCAGCACGGGCACACATGGCAAAGTGGGGGGTCTTAGTTCAGACCTCCATTCCACTTTAAAAAGCCACAGACCCATTGGCCTCCTTTACCGTAGACCAGTGATGGTGAACCTTTTAGAGAGAGTGCCCAGACTGCAACCCAAAACCCACTTATTTATCTCAGAGTGCCAGTGCTGCAATTAAACCTGAACACTGAGGTTTTAGCTTAGAAAACACAACTTGTACACTAAGATCTTTCTTCTTAGGAGAAAAACAGCACTTGTGTCATAGGTTCACCGCCACTGGCCGAGATGGTTTCCAAATATCATAGTTGAATTAAGATTCCGCCTTCATTATCTCACAGTGGAGATCAAATTTCAACATTAGCTTTGACGGGGACATTCAGATCGTATCAGGTGTAGAAAATAATCACAGACTCTTCCATTGTGGAAGAAATGGAAGGTGTGGGATTAAGGAAACTTTTCAGGTCAGCATGTAGGGAAGAAAGAAGGAATGATCGTCCCGGTGAGTGAGGCTCACTCGGATTGCTCCACACTCCAGGGTCCACGAGTGCAGGGTGGCTGTGCAGCCTGCGCTAGCTGTGGGCTCTGCGGTGCTCAGGGCTTTGTTCGTGTTTCTATTCTCAGTCAACCTCCTTCCCCATCATGGTTTCCTGATTTTCTAGCATTATACATGTGACTTTTAATCATGAGGATTATGATCTCATAAAATAAAATGTTGACATGGTTGCTTAGAATTTGGAAATGCTGAGCTCCAGGGGTTTAGCTCAGTGGTGCCGCCACCTGCCTCTCAAACAAAAAAAAAGAATTTGGAATGCTTTCTATCCATTTATAAAACCACGAGAAAATTCTCCCTCTCTCTATGAGGCTGCCCTGCTTAACTCATTAACTAGGTGGTACCTCACCCTGCCTTGGCCTCCTTGGGCAGGCAGTGTTGGTGACGAGTTTGAGGTTCATGGTTGATTCAGGGTTAGGATTCACAGATCTTTATGACAGAAGTCTAAGGTGGCTGTGGGGGTGTGGCCCTGTGCTCCTAGCTACTTGGGATCCTAGGCAGGAGAGGCACTTGAGCCCCGAGTCCAGCACCAACCTGGTAACAGCCAGACCTTGTCTTGGGGAGAGAGTGTGAGCGTGAGGCACTGGCTGGGTGGCAGGGATCAGATTTAGCCCTCTGTCATCCTAGGTGATTTTTCAGGCCTAGAGGCTTAACTACCACAACTGAGAGCTAGGAACATACCTGGGCTCCTGTGTCTCCATCTCCCCTGAGCACCTTTTTGAGGAGGGAGGGTCTCACCTTGTGATCCAGGCTGGCCTTGAACTCATGGTGATCCTGCCTCAGCCACATGCTGGGATTGCAGCTATGTGCTGCTCCACCACAAGCAGCTCGAGTACCTTTCCAGGGCCATCACATGATGCTGCAGGCCACGTGCTTCTTAGCATAAGGCAGTGTTGGTCAGATCTGCCCCTCATTGCAGGAAGAGGCAGCTTTGTGGCGTCACCAATTCTAATCTCTGTGTTCACATCATGGTTCCACTCAGCAGAGCAGGGCAGGCGCTCCCTAAGCAAAGACTTCCTCTATCATGTGTTTAGGCTCTGCTAGGGGAACCAAGAATAGAGTGCTCGATTCACCAGACAAACAGACACATGTCTCAGATCTTTGTGGAAATGAGCATGCCCTCCTCCTGGCAGCAGGAGAGCTGGGTGGGGAAACGCTGGACAGTGTGTCTGGGTATGTGTCCCTAATCTCTGTCCCCAGTCACCGGCTGAAGACCAGCTCCTTGCCACTGGTCCTGCCTTAGTTTAAGACTGGCTGCCTTTCGGGGCCCTCTTCTGGGTAACAGGGTTTCCTGAGGTGCCAAGCTCTGGCTGAGGGCTGTACCAGCCCCAATCCAGAGAAAGGGTGCTGGCGTCTGGTTCAGAGCTGCAGCTTTACCGTAATCTCTTGCTGACAGGTGAGGTAACTAGAGCAGCCCCACGTCAGCTGCCCTTGTGGTGGTGCCGGCTGGGACCTTTGGTGGCCGTGTGCTGGCTCCCTGGCTCAGGGCCCGCAGCCGCCTGCAGCACCTCCTTGGGACTTGTCAAAGACCAGCTCAGGCAGCCTGCAGCTGCTCTTGGCTTCTAGTTCCCACACAACCAGGGTGCCACCCTGCTGGGCTTCAATTTTTTGCAGTGCCCAGCAGAGGAAGGAGGACGTGGGTGGTTTCCAGGCCCAGCTTTGAGGCCTTGTGAGGCTCTCAGGATCCTGGGGTGGCCTCCTGCCAAGGGGCTACCCCAGGAGTGTAGAGCTCAGGGCAGACCACTTACTCTGGACACTTTATGCTTCAGGGGTTACTCCAAGGTGTGGTGGGGGGATGTCTTATGCCACAGCCCCCTGGGGGTGCTCCTGATACACTGGTGCTACCATGCCCGAGGCAGCACTTCTTCATGCTGAGGCAGGGTCTCCAGTGATCAAGGCACGGGCCCAGCGTCTTTCTCCATGGCAAGTGCTCAGTCACAAAATCTCATTAAAAAAACCCAGCATGGTAGTGCATGCCAGTCATCTCTGCTACACAGGAAGATAAGGCAGGAGGGTTGCAAGTTTGAGGATAGCTAGAGCAATTTAGTGAGGCCCTGTCTCAAAAAAAAATTTTTTTTTTTTGACCTGTGACTCAAAGCTTATTTAATACCCATGGCCTTGTAAGTTCCACATTGAAAGCAGATAGGCATTTCATCTATGTTACGGCATGGATTCCGGCAAGACTGGCACCTGATTTCTGTGGCTATGACATTTAGAAGTTTTTTTCCACACAGCATTCCATACCAGAGTAGCAAACAGTAAACAGGCAAAGTACGCAGAGCTCAGTTAAGTCTGCATGGTCAGGGCAGGTATTTTCCTGTTTCTGTTTCCTGCCAGAACAGGGTCTGATGCAAGGACTGACCTAACAGAGCAAGCTGCTGTTGGCCCCCACAGACATGCCCTTTGGAGCTGTGTATGGTTTTAGAGAAGTGGCGGCTTTGCCGGGATAGCTGGTAGACAGCTGGGGCTCTCTAAATATCCTGTATGAGTACTCAGCTCCAAGGAGGCGATGCAACCCAGAGATGAGCTGGAGAACCAGAGGTGGCAGCTAAAGTGGCAGTGCGAAGGTCTTCCATTTTGTTACAAAAGGGCAATGGCGTGGAGTTCATCAGTGTAGCTGTGGCAGCCAAGTTCTGCTTTCCACACCCCACAGGCAAGGAGCTCGGATGGAAGGGTCGGAGGATCCTCCTCGCCCAGACCTGAGGAGGAGGGCACGCTCTCCGTTAGGGATGATGTTTCTGTCTTGCCTGTGAGAGTCCCTCTATTAGAGGCTGAGAGAGCTCAGAGCAGGGCACGAGGGATTGTAGATGCCTGGGTCCCTTGGCATGTCCGAAGGGCCGCCAGCATTCACTACAAGTAGCAGGGGCTGCAGGGCAAAGACCCCATCATGGGGTGCCTGGACCTCAGCATCCTGGCCCAAGCCCCCACACGGACTCTGGCTCTGGGTGGAAGTCTGCAAGCACCAAGAACAGCAGCCTCAGCCTAGAGGCAGAAAGCACCCTCTGGCCCTGGTTTGCCAATGACATCATTTAAAACTAAGCCTGAGTCAAACTTCTCCAAGACTTCAAAATTTATTTAAGAAAGGTGGGAAGCCAAGCATTGTGACACACACCTGTAATCCCAGCACTTAGGGGGCTGAGGCAGGAGGACTGCTGTGAATTTGAGCTACCAGCCTGCATTACACAAATGCTAAGGGAAAAAAATGGTGGTGGGTGCTGGGCATGTCTCTCAGTGCTGCCTGGGTTCCGTCTCCCGCACTGCTGAAAAGGCAGCTGTCTACTGTCAGCCTTGAGTGAGAGGCACTTACGAGCCCCGAGGACCTGGACTTCTCACTGACGCCCATGTCCCCACTGTCTGGTCTCAGCTGCAGTGGCCAGCAGCCATCCTCCTTGGGCTCAGCACTCACCTCTCTTTTTGAGGAGGATTTTTTCTTTATTTGTTTTTTGAGACAAGGTCTCCCTCTGTGGTCCAAGCTGGCCTCCAGTTTGCAGGGATCCTCCTGCCTCAGCCTACATACCAAGTGCTGTGAGATTACAGGTGTGCGCCACTGCACCTGGCTGTTTTGTTGTTTTGGGTTTGGTTTGGTTTGGTTTTTTTGTTCCACCTCCCTGTATTTGCCTGATCCTGCACAGTACCCAAGGCTGCTTAGTCTTCACTTAGCCCACAGCAGGCTCTTGGCTGCTGTCCTCCAGAGACCATGTCCAGGTCTGCAGACGGTGACTCATGCTGTGTAGCAAGGTCAGAGCATGGTGACCTGACTCCCTCCGAAAACCCCTGAGCACAGTACGGGGCCAAGGGAACGTCCTTCTTGCACCAGGTGTCTGCAATGTTCGGCGCTCCCTGGTGCCTAGGGTTTCTCCCGCCTGGGGCCTCAGTCTGCAGCACCTTCCATCCATAGCTTCCTGCAGGATCCGGTACCCTCTGCTCACGCTGTTTTGTCCTCATGCACACGTGAGTCGCCAGGCTGGTCTGGCGGGCTTGGTCATGGCGCTCACTGTGTCCCCTCCACGGCCTCCTGACCAGGGCGGCCCTCAGCGGGAGCGGGAGCCATGCAGAGGGGAAGGGAGCACAGTGCACATTTGGTAGTGGCGTTTCCTCAGGGAGTGCAAATTTGTCACTTCGTAAGGCTCTTAGCAGATCAGCAGAGTTTTGTCAGCCCGCAGTTTGCTGTCCCGCCTGAGCTGTGGCTGCTTGCCTTGGCTCAGGCACCTCACGGGGTGGATCTCACGGTGCTCACCTGCTGGTGGCTACTCCTTGAAGCTTGTTCTCTTTCCCTCGCGGAGACCTGCTGCCCACCGTCACACCTCTCTCAGTCAGCGCTTTCCCTCGGGGCCTGCAAGGCACTCCATTTCCCAGCAGCCTTGAGCCATGCTGATTTCCTGGGCTCACCACTGAGCCACAAGGACGAGCGATGGGCCAGGACGGTCTGCGTGGAGCCTGCTGCTGACAAGCAGGGGAGCTGACCTTGTGGGCTCTCTCCCCAGGCTGGGTCCGATATGCCGAGCGGGTGCTGGGCCACCCTGTCACCCCCCACCTGTGCACCGCCAAGTCCCCGCAGCAGGTCATGGGCTCCTTAGTGAAGGATTACTTCGCCACACAGCAGGTAAGCTGATCTTCACAGGGACTGTGGGGCAGCAGAGGTCTCAGTGTCCAGGGTAAGCTCAGGTATGGTGGCTTATAGACCAGAGCCTGCACCCATGTTTCTCACCTTGGCCTTTCGCCTTCACCTTTGCTCCTGGACCCCTCTACACACAGTAAAAACAGTGCCCCCTTAGTGAGAAGAAGAAGGCCCAGCCACCTCCAGAGATGCTACTGCCTGGTTTGTGTCAGTCTCCCAGAGGGCCGGGGCTGTTGTCCCACAGGGAACGGAGTGTCACCTCTTTCTCTGGTGCCACCTGAGTCCCTTTGTGACTTCTGTGCGATTCTGCCCTAGTCTTGGCCCGGTCTTCACATGATGTTCAGAGTGGGATCCAGCCCGGGTTCCTGCCCGCCCCTTGAAGTCTGTCCCCTTCTGCCCACGGCCTGCCGCAGCCCAGGCCCTGGTTGGCTGCTGTGGCTTCCACACTGTCCTTCCTCCTTCAGAGGAGCATATCTAGTGGTGACTAGTGAAGACAGCAGAAGTGAGGATCTTCTAAACACTGAAGCCAGCCTGAAGAACCACACTTATGGGGAAGCCTTGTTATTTTAACACAGGGAATGTTTTCTTCTTTCCTGCTTATCTCACAGAGTCACCAGCATTGGCAGATTACAAACGTGTTTTCAGGCTGTGTGTGCTAAGCTGGTGGTGGTACATCTCCCCTTCCCTTGCCTGCCTGCCTGCCTTTCCCTGCTGGAGCCAAGAGCTCTAGGGCCTCTTGCAGGTCCTGCTGGGGACAGTTAGCTTGGCCTGGCCTCAGGCCGCCTCTTGCCTAATCCACTCACAGGGCTGACCGGGCAGGTTCAGTGGGGCTTCCTACCCAGGCATCACTGCAGGGGTCCCTGGGTCACTGCTGGCTCCTGTTTTGCCCAACTGTGGCTCGGCCTGGGTCACCTGGTTGTCTCAGCACGGCCCCCAGAGAGGGCCAGCCTGGGAAGCTGTCACTTGAGCAACTTTAAGAAAGTAGGCAGGTACACCAGATAGGACACTCACCTGCGCCTGCCTGTTTTACCCTTGTTCTTGGCTCAGGAAGAAAGGTGCTCTGGCCCCCGGGGGCATGCAGGCTTTCCTGAGAGGCTCCTGGGCAGCTGGGCCTTTAGTGACTATAGCTGCCTAGAGTCAGGCCACACACGCGTGTGCACTCGGTGTGGAGTGTGGAGAACGGGAGCCCTGCCTTGGCTGTCAGGAGGCAGTGCCACAAGAGGTGGGTGGGGTGGGGTGAGGGGTGGCACTCTGTGGTCCCTCCTGCCCTGAGCACCGACTAGAAGCTGCCTTGGTTGCTTGGTTGCTTCCACACCAGCCCCAGGGATGGCATGCTCTGCTCCACAGAACCTGCCTCCAGAGAAGATTTTCCATGCCATTGTGGCCCCTTGCTATGACAAGAAGCTGGAGGCTCTTCAGGAGGGATTCGCCACTGCTTTGCCTGGCACCCGGGGCACCGACTGTGTGCTGACCTCAGGTGAGAGGTGGGCAGTTAGGCCTGGACACTGGCGAGGGCTCCAGCAGGCTGGACAGCGGCCCGACACTCCCATTTGTGCAGGGACAGCCGGGGATCCTTAGGTCTGATGTCCTGCAAGTAGAGAAGGATGGCATTTTGTGCATTGTCTTCCTCCTGACAGGCTCCGTCCAGAATCACAGGCAGCTGGCCTGGACCTCAGCCCATGTAACGTAATATCCCTGGGCAGAGAAAGTCACGTGTGACCCTCGGTCTCCTAACAACCAGGCGAGAGAAGCTTTTGGTTTTGATTTTGGTTTTGGTTTTGGTTTTTTGAGACAGGGTCTCACTATGTACTTGAGACTGACCTGGAACTCATTATGTAGCCCAGGCTGGTCTGGAACTCACAGTGATCTTCCTGCCTCAGCCTCCCGTGTGCTAGGATGACAGGCGTGTGCCACCATGCCCTGCGAGAAGCTTTTATATGCAGAGTGAAGTGAAAACCACACATCTGCTCCTGTCACGTTGCCGTCAGCCACACACCAGTGGCATTTTTCAGATGTTATTTTTAGAACCTCCAGCAGGTTCTGTGTCTTTGAGGATGGAGAGCATCTTTGGCTCGGGACTGTCACTCAGCTGATGTGGCTGCAGTGACTGTGTGTCACATAAGCACAGCCTGTTTGGGGTCAGACGTGGAAGACTCGCACTTGGGTTTGACATGGAGCACTTGCTTGTAGTTCAGGGGCTGAAGGGAGAGGATTCTGTCCTTACATTTCGTTGCTGCTTTTCCTTTTGTGTTGCTCTGCTCCTGCTGTCGGGTAGGGGTTGCACATAGCAGGGAGGGTGTCCCTGGTCACTAGTGTAGAGTGTCCTTCCAGGGGAGAAGCCTGGCCACCTGCCCACAGTCTCATTCCTTTTACCCATCTGCAGGCGAAATCGCTCAGATGATGGAGCAGAGTGACCTCTCGGTGAAGGACGCTGCTGTGGACACTCTGTAAGTGGCTTCTGCAGGGCTCCTCCGGTAGCCTGGGCCTCCTGTGAGCCCTCAAGTCACCCACCAGTCCCAGGGCTGCCTTCCTTTGAGACCCAACCACATTGTCCCCTGGTGGCCCCACCACAACCCGGTTAGATTTGTGGCTGTTTAAGTGAGTGTGGTCTAGACCTGGAGGGGCCGCCATTCCCCAGAGCTGCCAGGGCCTCAGTGGCGCCCCCTGTGATGGCGGTGCAGACACCATGTGGGGCAGGGCTGCGGCTCTCTCGGCTGCATCCTGTGTTCAGTACCCATCTGGTGCTGTGATTCCCTCAGTCCCTGGCCTTGCTGGGGCTGCCTGGCCAGACACTAGGAGTCCTCACGCTGACCTGGGCACAGGCAGGCACACTCATGTCACACCAGTAAATCAGTGAACAGCAGTGAGTATTACCTTGCCTGTCCAAGATAGAATTTCATGTCAATAATTAAAGCTCAGGGCAGTTTTCCTCAAAGTCTAAGTATTTATAAAGATGTATATAGTTCTTCAAGTGGCCACCTCGGACCTGATACTTTGGAGTCTGGGTTCCTCCTCTCCTCAGCAGAGGTCTTGCCTTCTCCCCCGCCTGCCAGGTTCGGAGACGTGCAGGAGGAGGTGGTGAGGCGCCACGAGGGTGCTGGCTCGGATGGGCACCTGGCACACGTCTTCCGACATGCAGCGAAGGAGCTGTTCAACGAGCATGTGGAGGAGATCACCTACTGTTCCCTGAGGTGCCGAGGAGGGCGCGGGTGTGCATTGCGTGTGGCCTGTGGCTGGTGAGGAGGCTGCTCTCTGGGAGTCTACACCCAGCCTTCAGCATCCCCCACCGGCCCTATCTTGCTGACATTCCCAGCTTAGACTAAAAATGGTGCTCAAGACCTGGAGGACTGGACAGCCAGCGTCCTTGTTCATTTTATAGGAACAAAGACTTCCAGGAGGTCACCCTTGAAAAGAATGGAGAGGTTTTGTTGCGCTTTGCTGCTGCCTATGGGTTTCGGAACGTCCAGAATTTGGTCCTGAAGCTCAGGAAGGGCAAGTTCCCATACCACTTTGTGGAGGTCCTGGCGTGTCCTGGTGGTAAGTGCAGTGCCAGCCCTGCAGGGTGGGCGCGCTTGAGCTGGTAGACGTCTTCACCTCTGGGTTCCCCTCCCCATCAGGAGGTGTGATGCATGCGCAGTGGGGCAAGGCCCCTGGTGTGCCTTGGGGATACACCACAAGGAGCCCCGCCCAGGAGCCCATGTCAAGGCAGAAAGGGAACTGGCTGCAAGAGCAGCCAGAGCCTGGTCTGAAGGCCCTGTGAGAGGAGGCAGCGGGAAGGGCACAGCCCAACCCTGGCTTCGGGACCGTCACAGTCTGTGGTGACCTAGGCAGGTGAGGGGCACCGAGGGGACACAGCATGCAGATGGCATAGGGGTTTGTATCAGGGAGGGCGCCAATCCCTGATGGTCACTCTTACCTGCGCAGTGGACCACTGTGAGTGTGGAGGGGGACAGGAAATGAGTAGAAACTCGGCCAGACAGGCACTGCAGACACAGGAGATGAGGGTGCCAAGGGCTGAGTGGGGACCAGACAGGCGGTGGCATCATGTGCATATCTGAGAGGAGGCTGGTCTGCTCAGAGCTCCTAGAGGCTCTGGGCTTGGATAATTCTTAGGGCAGGAACCCAGCTTTGCAGGCCAAACCGCCTGGTTCTAAAGGTTAAGGTGAAACAGGAAGTGGTTTACCCCTCCATGGGTACCAGTAAGAGGCATGCTGGGCTGTGACATGTGGGAGCCCAGCTCTCTTCCCTCCCTTCCTCTCCTACCCCAGCACTGTCTGCTCTGAGTGAAGCCTCATGAGACCTTTCCCGCCTGTGTGTGTCTTTTAGGGTGCTTAAACGGCAGGGGCCAAGCGCAGACCAAGGACGGACACACAGACAAGTCCCTGTTGCGCCAGATGGAGGGCATCTATGCAGACATCCCCGTGCGACCTCCTGAGTCTAGCGCTCACGTGCAGGAGCTATACCAGGAGTGGCTGGAGGGCACCGACTCCCTCAGAGCCCAGGAGACCCTGCACACCTCCTATCAGAGCCCGGAGCGCTGCACAGCCAGCCTGGACATGAAGTGGTGACCCGGACCCGGTGGACAGGGCCGGCTTGTGCAGGGCAAGGGCCATGCCGACTGACCAGGAGCTGGCCCTTCTGGAAACTGGGCCGCTCTGGTTTCCTTCTCAGCTCCCAACCGCAGCATCTGTGGTGCTATCTTCATCGTGAGTAGTTATCAGGGGAGGAGCTCCCCAGCCCAAGTGTCCCTTTATCACAAGATTGGGAAAAATCCCAAAGAGAGGGGACAGGGACAGCCTACTGTCTCTTAGATTTCAAAAACTCCAGGTGTCCCATGAAGAGCTCAAGCCGGTAACCACGCCTTCCTTGCTAGAGAAGCAGCAGGGCAGGGCTTGGCTGCAGGGCCAGTGGCCACTTGTGGCCTCAGTTGGGCCTCAGTTGGATCTTGGGGGCAGGCTGTGCTCTCGCACCTTGCCCAGGGTGCTGTCATTTTCACCTCATGCAATTCTGTTATAAGTTCTGGCAACAGTGGCCATGACCACACTGCCACACCCTCCTGGAGCCTCACCATGGTGCATGCAGGCCTGTGGGTGGTCACTGGTGGCACTGGCCTCAGGGTGACCCTGAGCATCCAGGCTCGAGTTGGATTCACACCACCTCACAGCAGGGACAGGGCCTGACGGGAGTCACTGAGGTCACTAGCAGAGCAGAGACCTGAGGGCCCGCTGGAGCTGTACAGGGTGAAAAAAGCCTCACCCCTCGGTCTTGGCGTATGTCCATAGGGCCTGACGCTGGAGGGGCTGCTTCTCCCCCAGTGTCCTCAGCGGCTCTTGTCCCTGCATGGTCCGCTTGTGCCTGCAATGGCGCCCTTCAGCCCCCTGCCCTGCTGCTGCCCTCCCCCTGCGGCATGAGCACCAGGATGGGCTGCGCGGGGCGTGGTGTGGACAAGTGTGCTTGCATGGGCTCAGGGGACCGTGCTGCACACAGGCTCCCCCTGCGGCATGAGCACCAGGATGGGCTGCGCGGGGCGTGGTGTGGACAAGTGTGCTTGCTGTGTACCTGTGTGGGTGGTGCCTGGACGTGTTAAATTGCATCCTTTTTTTTGCTTTCAATATTATGTAGTCGGGTGTTAATCCCCAAAGTAACCGATGTGAAATAAACAGTTGCAGAGAATGGAGTGGAGCAAGCCCGGCAAAGTCCAAGCTGGGCAGCCCCTTGTGTCCCCACGGAAGCATCAAGGAGCTGTCCTGCCTGCTGCAGCTGACGGCCACCAGGCTGCAGCGGTGACGTGCAGGCCCAAGGTAGTGGGGAGAGACTTCCTCCACTCTATCCCACAGACAGGGCCTGCTCAGGGCAGCTCACAGCAGGGGGATAGGGATGGTGTCGGCAGCCGGGGCAGAAGTGGGTGGACGAGCCTGGGTTCCCGTCCCCATCGCACCTGGGCTGCCCTCCTGATGCCACCACCCCTGTTGCTCAGTGCCTGTGGTCTAGCGGGCAGAGCTGGGATGCGCCACACGCATGCTGGCCTGAGAGCTGGGACTCCCGCACCCTTCCTGAGTGAAGGCCAGCAGTCTTGCACTATTGCCACTGCTTCCGTTTGGCGCCAGCTTGGGGCCAGGCAGGGCAAACTCTTAGGTGGTGGCCGCCTGGTGGTGGCCGCCTGGAGGGTGTCCTGTGGTCTCAGATGTGTGCGTGGTCAGGTGGTCCTCACTTGGCTACAGAATGGGCTAGCACTTGTAATTCCACGCTGCCTCTGCACACAACATTTAGGTTTTTTCCTAATCTCACCATTTGTCAAAGCAAGTAACACTCCATTTCGATGTTCAAGAATTGAGATTCTAGGGCTGGGGATTTAGTTCAGTGGTTCCAGCACCTGCCTCACAAGCACAAAGACCCGAGTTTGATCCCTGGTACAAAAAAAAAAAAAAAAAAACTGAGAGTCTATGCTGCAGAGACCTTAGTGTCACTTTGAGATACAGGGAGATACTTTTTTTTTTTTTTTTGATGTTTTGAAATGGAGTCTTGCTATGTAATTCAGGCTGGCCCTCAACTCACTGTGTAGCCCAGGCTGCCCTTGAACTTGAATCTATCTTCCTTGCCTGCCTCAGCCTCCTGAGAGCTGGGATTACAGGCATGTGCAGCAGGGACATTTCTGAATGAAATTGAGCATGTATTTTGAAAGAGAGAGCATGTGAAAGAGGCAAAATTTTACTTAGCCTGAAATACAAATTTTATCTGGCCCAAAAATGGGCAAGGCAAGGGGTTTTTAAGAGATATTGAGGCAGGCAGGTGGTAAAGGCCTACCCTCCCAACCTGAGCATTTAGCCATTTAGCAAGACCACATCTCAACATTAAAAAGGTCAGTGTATGTAGCTCAGTGCAAAAAAAGTGGGTTCAGTCCCCAGTGCTACTTAAAAACTGTGGTCAGGGAAGAGTGGGTGCTTGCACGCTTGGCAGCCACACCTCAGGTTAACAGACAAGAGGGAGGTGGCTGGGGGTGTCGGGTGACAGTGAGCTTCCCTGTGCCCAAGTGGCACCCAGAGGAGCAAACCCAGGCATGGGGTCTTGAATGGCTCAGAGGCAAGGGGAGGGCCGACTGGAACCACAGGACAAACGGAGTCAGCCCAAAGTGCCATTGCACACAGAAGTGCCAGCCTTGTGCATGTGAGGCTGGGGACCAAATCGGGTACGCGAAAAGGGGAGCAGGGGACAACCACTTGAGTCCCACTGATATTTGATCTCAGATCACTGGACAGTCCAGGGGGCTTCTGGTCACCAGGGAAACAGCTGCTGCTGAGCTCTGCCTGCCCCTCAGTGAGGACCCGGACCTGGGGTAGGTTGGCATGGGAGAGGGAAGCCTGTCACTGGGCAGGAGAAGAGACCTCCAGCAGAGGATGCGCTCTGTCATCCTCGGCTGTGGGCCCAGTGCTCCCGCTGCACCATTGTTGCCTGCAGTGAATTTGGACCCAGGCTCTGGACCTGCTGCCTCCCCTCAGTGGTCTCAATTTACAGGGAAAATAATTTCCTGCCCTCTGGTGTTGCTATAAACAAGTCAGAGAAGACATCCTGCCTGGCCCAGTGTCCCTTCGCCTGGACGGCAGAGACCCTCTGTGTGCTGGCGATGGCTGCTGGATCTTCAAAGAATAAGAAACCACGTTTCTCCTGTCAGTGAGAAGTGGCTCCCAATAGGGATAGTTATGAGTAAAGTGCTCTAGTCCTGTGCTTCCCACTTCTTCCCTGTGGCCAGAGAAGCTATTTCCACACACAACTGTTTAAGGTGTCCACCAGCAGGGTGGTGGCACACATCTGTTAATCCCAGCACTGGAGGCTGAGGCAGGATTGCCGAGAGTTCAAGGTCAGCTTCAGCTACTTAGTGAGGTGCTGTCTCCAAAAAAATCAAAATAAAGTGTCAGGAATTCTTGGTGTTTCCAGGTGCAGTGGTGCGTTCCTACAGTTCTGCAGTTCAGGAGGACTGAGTTTAAGCCCAGCCCAGGCAATTTAGAGACCCTATCTCAAAAAAGGGAAAATTTAAAAAAAGAAAAAGTTAAAAAGGGCTGAGGCTGTGGCGCACTGTGAGGGTCCTGAGCCCGTCTTTACCCAGTACCATTTTAAAAAGAAAATCTTGGGGTTTGTGTTATGGTTCAAAGGAAAACACTTTCACAGCCACCTTTTCAGTGTGGTGTGGTCTGCTCCCATGAACATTCTAGACAAATCCCCTGGAAATCTGTTGGGTTAGCATAGTCTTTCTGTGAAACTTTGGGAGGCATCCGTGCGGCGAGTCCTGTGAGCCCAGGCAGCATCTCAGGGAGACTGAAACCTCCACGAAACCAAGGATCACATGAGGGGCCGAGTTCTCATTTTTCATTTTGTTCACCCAGGGCGTCCTGCGTGCTGAGTACTTCCCCACTATGCCACCCAGCCTGTGGTGAGCCACACTAGAGGAGGCCAGCAGGGCCGATGGCCCTGAGCTTTGAGGCGCCGCCCCCCGAGTGGGGCAGCCTTCTTATGGCTCCTGCCTCTGCCTTTCATGGGCCAGGCTCGCTCTCCCCACGTGCTTGCAGGAGGAAGATGAGAAGGGCAGCGCAGGACAGCACAGCAGAAGAGCACCCCAAACGTGACCGGTGCTGCCAGGCACTGGGAGGCTGAGAAGGGAAGAGATGGCCTGTGAACTGCAGTTTGTCCAAAGAGGCTCCGTTTTTATCCAGAGAATTTCCAGGGTGTTTGAATGTCACTGCTTGAAGAACTGCAACCTTGTGGAGAGATGCAGTTGTATAAATCAAGGAGCATAAATCCACCGGGTGTGATGGGGCACACCTGTCATCCCAGCCCTTGGGAAGACTGCTACGAGTTCAGGGACAGCCTGAACTACACAGCCAGATCCTGTCTCCAAGAAACAAAAAAGGCGGCATAAGTTGTACTGCTACATTTTAGGCTTGTTTGATGATCATTATCACCTCTGTGTCTAACAGCGCACACGTGGGCGTGTGTGTGTGTGAGAGAGAGAGACTACTGGGGAAAAATTTTAAATGTTTGTCTCAGTGAATCTCTTGACACTGCTAACCTTCAGGCCAGGCATAAGAAAGCACCCAACTCCTTTAAGAGCCTGCTCGTCTTACTGGAGGGAACACTTGAATCTTGCAGATGCCCCTCCCCACCTTTTGAGATTTGCCTATTCGTTTTTTGTTTTTGTTTTTTTTGGTACTGGGGATTGAACTCCAGTCCTTGTGCTTGCGAGGCGTTGGAACCACTGAGCTAAATCCCTGCCCTTTCGCCTATTTGTTGAACCCGCCTGCGATGGTACCTCAGCTTACGAACAATTTGTTCCATAATTCTGGTCATGAACTGAATTGGTTGTGAACCAAATCAAATTTCTTTGTAAGGCTCCATGTAAATAAGGTTCATCTGTTCTGATCCCTACAAATGTGGTCGTGAACTGAATCAGAATTTCCCATAAGGTTCAAGGTAAATAAGGTTAGTCCATTCTGAACCAGTTGTATTTTTTGGTCTTTTTGTTGTTTTGGTTCCAGGGATGGAACTCAGGACCTTTTGCTTGCAAAGCAGGTGTGGTACCACTGAGCTAAATCCCAGCCCAATTTTTTTTTTTGTCTTTTTTTTTGTTTGTTTTTTGAGATAGGGTCTTGCTCTATAATTCATACCAGCATTGAACTGTGTAGCCCAGGATGGCCTCAACCTTGCAGCAGTCCTCCTGCCTCAGCCTCCCAAGTGCTGGGGTTACAAGCATGTGCCACCAAGCCTGGGTTCCAGATGTATTTTTTTAACCACAAAAATAGGGAAACAAAGTACAGTGCAGTAGGAAGAGAGAACACTAACCTTGCTTGCAACTTCTGAAGGACAGGAAGGGGTGGGAGGTCACTGTCTGGAGGAAGAGGCCCCTCCATAAGACATCGGGAGATCTCTCCTCTGTCACTTAGCTGCAGGGTCAATTTTGATGAAAATTCTGTCTTCCTGCAATGCCTAACCCTGCAGAAACAAGACCTCCACTCCACTCGGCACTGCTGTGTTGGGCTGCTGCTGCTCACAGAAACCCTGGCACGCCTTCCCCTTTTCCACCAGGGATTTAGTCACATCTCTGCAGCCTCCCCGCTGTCCTCTTCGTCGGTGGAATACACCTCAACACATGCCTTCTGCCGCTCGCTCTTTCCTGCTGCGTGACCCAGGTCCCGTTGCCTTCTTCCACAAGGGCCCCGTCTCATGGCATGAACACTTGCTGGGTTAGTATCCTGCTTTCATGAGTTGCACGGATCCTTTTCTGTAGGCTTCTGCGGCGGCCTTGTCAGGCTGGAAGCCTCACCATGTCAGCACAGTGTGGAGGCCACTTCTCTCGCGGGATTTATCAAACCACCCTGTACTGGCTTAAATCCATCGCTTGTTGCGCTCATAGAGGGGTTTCCTCGCAGTGAACCACTGTGCATTCCCTGGCTTTTTCCATAGATCATAGGCTTCACTAAGGCTAGCACCGGTCAGCTGTTTCTCATTGTGCCACACTAATGAAAATTTCTCCACCTCTCCTGCACCAGTGTCCTCTGTTTGATTAACATCATCACCCCTTTGCCACATTTCTCCCCAATGGCATCTTTATTCTTCCAGACAGACGAGATCTTTGACTTCATCATGACTTTTTTTTTTTTTTTTTTTTTCCAGGGCTCGAACTTTGGACCTTGCGCTTGTGAAGCATGCAGCGGAACCCCTGAGCTTCTTGTGTTGTCTTTCTTTTTTTGGTATCAGGGACTGAACTCGGGTCCTTGTGCTTTCAAGGCAGGAAGCAGAACCACTGAGCTCAACCCCTGGCCCTACCCCTGAGCTTCTTGCCATTCTCGCTCTGCACATACTTGTCACCTTCATTACCACTCTACACTTTCTTTTCACCACTGTGCTTGCTCTGCACTTTCCTTGGAGCCATGCTGGATTGAATAACACTGTACAGTACTGTATGTGTTAAAAAAAATACACAAAAAAGCTTCGCAGGTCTGTCTGTGACTGAGATCTTGACTAGAGGAAGCCACAACCATGTGTCAGAGCAAGGAGATAGCCAGCACAGTTGTGTTTGTCACCTGATACAGAGTTGGAGAATGGCAGCAAAATTTTGCCAGAACATTCTGTTGTGAACCACATTGTGCACAAATGGATTTGTGAACCAAGTATCACCATACTTTCTTTTGGACAATGAAAGGCCTGTGTAATCTGTAGAAGAAACCATGCTCTTTCGGAGCTCTTGATAGCTTGCATTTGTTTTCCTGAGGCACAGTCAGTGTGCTGACTAGGAGTAAGCCACTTTCTTGTTTCAGGTGGCACCCCAGGGTACAGGTCACCCCCTGGCCTAAGCGCCATGACCGGCTGGGGGCTGCACACCTGTGAGCCAGAACCTTGCCCATAG